GGTTTTATTGCTGTCTGTGTCCCCGTACTGAGATTTACCCTCTCTGTCCTGTTGACCATTATCACTGAAAGTGAAAGAAAATCCCAAGTTTTAGGTTGTAACTAGAACAGGAATAGAGCGGAAACCTTCCAATGAGGACAGTAGTTCTGGTGACAATCAGGATTGATCCCTCACTTTGGAGAGATATCTTCTCACTTCTTGTTTTGGCTATGGGACAGGAAGCGAAGAGAAATTTCTCCAATGGCATGGCAAAAGGAAAAAACAAAACACAAAAACACTGACCTGACTTATTACCCTCTCTTCAAAATGGAAAAAAAAAAAGTTTTTCCTTTTAGTTCTGCTTTAATACTAGCAGGAAGGTGCACAGTGGAAGGGCTGATGCACTAAGACAGTGCACATAGTACAGCACTTAGCCCTTGTCGCCAACAAACCTGTTTCCTAATTTTTAATAAAAACAAAAGTCTCAGTTGCCTAAATTTGCACATACCATATATGTGGATGTGTTGTGTTTCATTAAAGTAGCCCTAACACTATTGTAAGAAGGGCCACTTACGTAGGCTGAGAAAAAAAAAAAAAACCTGTATAGACAAAAAAATTGGGTAATACACTTACCTTTCCCCCACCTCCATATTGCAGAGAGTGATGTAATTCTTCCAATAGGATCCTAGGGACATCAAATGTGGCTGGTGCATCACCCCTTACAACATCCAGGAGCCGTCACAGAAAGTTCAGAAAATTCTGATTCGCACACGGGTCTATCATTTACCCTAGGTTCACATCTGTGCAGGTGGTGCCGCTGCAGATCCGCACGAAAATCCGTACAGCGGCACCACCCACACAGAGAATTGCGGACCCGCGGGCGGGTGCCATTAATTCTAATGGCACGCCACCCGCACTGGAAAACACTACCGTACTGGGAACCGAGGTTCCCGTGCGGGCTGCGTTTTTCCAAAGAAGTGCAGGGACTTCTTTCCCTACGTGTCACAGGCACGGGAGTCCATTCAAATGAATGGGCTCTTGTGCCCATGCAAAACGTGGCCCGCATGCCGCATAGATGTGAACCGGGGGTAAAAGCTTGGCAGTTGTAAGAAAAGCTCCTCCATGAGCAATATTTCAAGCCTGGATAAAGAAGAAATATCAGCGAGCACTATGCACTAAAAAGGAAACCATAGAACCCTTCAGAGTAACTAAGATAAGAAAGTGCAGCGCTAAAAAAACTATATAAAAAAATAATAAAATAATGAGTTGATATAATATGATCAAGAATTCCCTTGCACATCAGGTGAGTGCGCACTTTATCTACTTGTTGCCACCCATCTTTATGTTGGATGATTGATCTACCACTGGGATTAACCACGTCACCTAGGGGCCCACACATGACCCATGATTTTGAATCTATTTATGGACTTTTATTTCATGGTTTAACAACTATACGATGATGTTCATTTATGGGTTTTACTTGACCCATATATTTTATTGATCATATATCATCTCATTATTTTATTATATTTATATAGTTTTTTTTAGCGCTGCGCTTTCTTATTTTAATATTTCAACCTACAAAAGAAAAAACTACTTTTGTAGTATGGGTAAAAGTATAATTAAAAGGCAAAACTTTTTTTACCTTTGTATTGCTGTCTGTGGCCCTGTTAGGGAGATGTGGTGGAGCTGAGGATAGGTAAAAGGTACAAAGTTGGTGCTATTTACAAGTCTATTTACAGTTGCTGTACAGTAACTATTAGGATGAGCAAGCCTATTGGTTGTCAGTCTTGACATACAATTTTACAACTTCCACCAACCTTGCAACTCTCACGGACATGACTTATCTGTTCCCAGGCTCAAGAGTACTGAATCTGAGTTCCAGGTGATCCTAGGGAGAGAAGCAAAACCTGAAATGGACAGAGAATCAGAGGTCTCTTAAAGTGTACAAGAGGAGCCTGGTAGATGTCTAAACCCCACAAAGGACTTTTCCAGGATCCCTTTGACACACTCTGCTACAAGAGGACACAGGTGACAAAAAAAAAAATCTGACGGGTTATAACCCTCCCTTACTCTATCCAAAATGAAAAATGGTTTCTTATAGTTCTACTTTAAATTTTGTCTAGTGGTTGGTGGGTTGCCTCATGCATGGACATAGTGAGCAGCTGAGCTGATCTTCAACGAAGAACTGACCTTCAGGGCAATACGATACCTTTGCCCACTGCTCTCCCCGATGTGTGCGTGGCGGGTGGAAACCGACCCCCAATCCACACTCCTGGCTGTGCTGCCACCATTCTCCCAGGGGGAAAAGGCATATTAAAGGAGACCTGCTCTACCACTTGTCTACAAATTGGTAGAAGATAAAGGTATAATACCTTATTACGCGTTCCAGAAGGGTTCCTCCAGCTGTGTGACCAATTCCATGCAGCCACCTCTTTAAGGGACTCCCAGACGCAGTTGCACTCTTGCCTGTTCCACATACAATGCAGGATTAATAGCCCTACATTGTACATGGTGATACCAAGGGATTGGTCACAGCTCAGAGTGCCGGAGGGAGGAGATGAGAGCACTAGAGCAGGGCTAAAGTAAGCAATGCAGCCTTTTCATTTCTCCTTAGACCATGCAATCACATTACAAGGTTTTTTTTTTTTCTTCCAGCCCCTGACCTGTGTGTAAATCATGATTGCCTTGACTTTCAAGGCTGTTGAAGGCCTTTCTGTTGTCTGTTACAGGTGTCCCCATTGGAAGATTGATTTCCAACCCCTGTTTAACTGTAAAATGTTGGATTTCCCATCACTTTGTATCCCAATTACAATGGGCAGCAGACAAATAGAGAAGGTGAATCTCCCCTGTAGGAACAAAAAAACAATGCTCAAAAGCCTGACAAAAGGTTCTACCCTTTCTGCACCCCATCCAAAAATTGTTTTAGATTTAGCTACATTTTAAATTGTCTTGCTAAGAGTAACCTGCTGTCCTGGGAAGACGATCTCCTGAGGAGGGATGAGCTTGGGCATATTTGCCTGAGCTTTCCCACCACTGTTACTGCAAACAGCCAATCATAAGTGGTGGAGGCAACCCCTGCCCTGCAAGTCGGGGAATGCCACTGTCACCTGGCTATCTGCAGTGACAGCTTCCTGGCGGGATAGCTCAGAAGGGTTTGGAGTCATGTCCAAGCCCACCAGAGCTCATGCCTGCTCCTGAGCCTTTGATGGTGCAGGCCTGGTGTTCTCAACTCCATCCCTTGGATGCTCCTTGCTGTCACTCAGATAGTTATATAAGTTTTGAAGAGCCCTCCCTCAAGGCCATAATGAAGATTTCACCCTTGAAACTGAATTTCCCTGATCATACCTTTGGCAGTATGAAAAATCCATTGAAGGACTATGGCACTGACTTGTGGCTTTGTAATAACTGTCATAGTCAGGAGCAATTGGGAATTCTGGTTGGGATATCACACCACTGGATTCAATGAAAGATATCAAATATTTTGCATGTGATTAAAATTTCCAGCAACTATACAGACCTGAGATATCATTTCAAGTGGTGTCGGCCCTGCTGAGGACAGGTAGACATGAATTGTGCGTCTAGTTGTAGAAAATTCAGTTTAAGGGGCACAGGACCTTCAATAATGTGAGTGTTTGTCCTTTATTATTCCAAATGTCATCTCTCTTCTGTCAGCACGATAAACAAGAACAACGCTGGAATCTAGAGGTCAGAGGGTAGAGAGTTTTTCACATAGCAGTCAGAGGAAGGTAGCAGAAGATCAAGTGCAGAAGCACACTTTTCCCTTGTATATGTGGAATCTCAGGTTGGCGTTGTTTACAATAGCAGGAAATGATGATTCATGGTAAGTGTTTTGAACATATCGGTCATGAGAATTCGCTATTGAGAGCCCAGTTTTCCAGATTTGCCGCCAGCAGCTTGTTGTTTTACGTCTGGGGGGATGCTCACAATGGAAGTCCACAATAGGAATTATAGGATGTTTACTGACAAATGCTATGACCATTACAATTCAATCTGCATCAGGAAGGTGTCTGCATTTTTAAACATTGAATAAAATATCATGCGTAATGTCATACCGCCAAACCCAAGGGAAAAGAAGTTTCTTGGAAAAGTAAAAGTTTTCTCCATCCTGACATGAACAATGTTCATTTAGAGTAAAAATGCATTGAGCTATCTGTTTGTGCGTGGGTGCAACGTGGGGCGGTGGCAGTAAAAGGTGGAGCGGGTTCTGATGCACCAACAGCATCTGTCTCCGAGGGCTGAATGTGGCCTGGCCAGTCCGAGCCCAATGGGGAGGATTCCGATGCGGGAAGAAGTGTCCCTAGCCTGTACCTTCTCGTCCTGAACCTTTCCCTGCCATTAATCACTTTCCCTGCCACTGATCACTTGGGGCATGAATTTAAAAAAAGGCTCTGATGACCCAAGATGGCCACCAGGGTCACCTGGATGCATTGTAGCCAACCAAAATGCTGCCTCAGGGGACCAAGGAAACCATAGAAAAACAAAGTTTCTTTTGACTTTCTCTGCAGCTGCAGTACCGCTACAGTCGAGTTCCACCTACAGAGAAGAAACTAGACAGCACCTGCTTACATGTTGAATGTCTCTAAATGTTATCCTGCCCTTTACCTTCTTTTTTTGGCTTGGTAAATCTATAATATACAGTTATGATTGGCTCTAAAGTGAGTCTGTAAAAATTCAGACTACTTTTGTTCACTGGTTCAAGCCCAGCCCTCGATCTCACCTCTCCACCCAATTCCACTGAAGTCCCACCTATGCAGGCTGGAGCATAAAGGGTTTGCACAAAACAAAATCTTTTGACAAAATACTTAAGTCCTCAGAAGAAGTGGGAGAATCCCATCTACTGTGAACCAAACAGATTTATAAAAAAAATTTGGAGCACAATTGCAATGTTTGGACATTTTAAAACTTTTACAATTTTAAATCAGAGTTTACATATAGCTCAGAGTTGCTGAACTGTGGTTTTACCACCCCCAGCCACCCATGTGAAAGAGCCCTTATAGGGAAATGTATATATTAGCCTCCCTGGCGGTATTCTCGAGTGTAGCTCGGGGTAAAGTTTCAGCACCACAAGCGGTAACCCCGAGCTACACTCGGGAATACCTTGCAGCGCTGCTCCGGGATCTGTTCTTCACTTACCTTGTCCTTTGCTCCCGCGATGTCCCTCCTGCAGTGTATCTGGCAATGTCCTCCGGCCGATGACGGCATCCATCTTCTGGGTTCCGTTCCCTGCGACGTCAGGACGTACGGGGACGGAACGGCAGGAAATTTAAAAATGTGAAAAAGTGACATTCACTGAATACACTAAAATCACATAGTAAAACATTACTGTATCAAACCATTTCACATACATTTTGTCCCGAGTGCTTTGTCCTGTGCCCTGCCTGCATTTTTACCGTTCTTTCTGCCTGGAAACTGAGAAATGTTTATGGCGTCCAAAAAGCGTCCCTTTAGGTCAAAATCGGTTTTAGACCAGCTAGAGAACAGCGATAGTAAATTAGAACTACTTGCAGAATTGAGTGATAATGATTTGTGGGGAAATTCATCATCAGACACTGAAAACGATTTTGCGACTTTGCTCAGCGATGTGCAAACTTGGTGCTATATTTCAAATTTCAGTGTTTTTGGTTTAATTATATTATTGAATTAAAATTTATTATTATATTATTTTTTTTATGATTATTTATTAAAATTATAATTTATGATTTTGTTTTTCAAATTTTAACATACCCTGGATGTTTACTAGACTCTTGTTCGGACACATTTCAGTGAGTTATTCCTAAAAATTACAGGCCTACAATAAAAAAACTACATATTTCCATGTAAAAAAAATGTACCGCTTTGAGCACAGAAATACTGACATAATCAGACCGCTAGGGAGGCTACTCATCATGTCCCAATTTCAGTGTGATCATTCTAGTCCCTGAACCCTACAACAGGTGTGGCCTATCACGCAGGCATGAATCTAAATAAACAATTTAAAATGGGCTTGGGACTTAAAGGTGACGGTATCCAGTCCTGGCTCCACTACCTAGTAAGTCACTAAATTGGAACAATCATGCAGCCAAAGAGTTTGTTGTCCCGTTCCTTATTGCATATCAGCAGCACACATGGTATTGTAGTCAGGATCAGCTGTCCTAGAAGCTAAACAGGTCATAGCTGTCCTAGAAGCTAAACAGGTCATAGCAAAAGAAATTGCAAGCAATGTTTGTGGTTGAAAGTGTCCTCTGTTGACCGGGGTATTTTTCTCTAAGTGTTGATGGACTACTTGACAAGCGGCATCTCGCAGATTTTCCCGGCTCCTTCCTGTCTTATTGTTCCAGCTCAGTGCAAAGTGCGCACACTGAAGAGCTGCAGGCTGAAACATTAACTTTAAATAATCTATTAGTCCATCTCCAGTTTTACCCCACCCCCACCTTCACCCTTCCCTGCACCTAATTCTAAAAACCTAAAAGCATGCACACCTTCACTCTCTACTTTTATCTCCTATCCCATCTTACCTATTATAATGAGTTGTCACCAAAAATATACTCACCTGCCCAGTCAAACCAGCATTGTCTTGCTGGGATCTGTCAATATGCTGCCACTGGTTGTACGAGTATGTTACCCCGATGATAAATGTGCAGCCAAGTCTGGTGTTGGAAGACAGTGTTCATGTACTTTTTGTTGCAACAACTCTTCATACTACATACAACTATACATTCTTCAACCAGTAACTAATATGGCAGTTGGGGGTGAACTATAAGTTTGGTTGTACTCTATGTCTTTTCTCCATAATAAAGTCCCGGTTTCCTGTTTGTAGAGATGCAGCAGATAAACACATGTGAACTGTGTCTGTTCTGTAGAAATATATACAGAATCTAACAGTCACCATGGTCAGATAAATGATCGGTAAGGAAATTCAGTTGAGTATACAAATATTTCAGGTGAGTTATTTATAATTTATTATTGGGCCTAGTCTTTTTTTATATTTTTATGATCTCACTTGGCATGGATAAAATGCTTGGTTGGGTGGTGGTGGGAACATTTGGGGAAACTTTTTATTGATTGGCCAAGTACAGGGACAGCTTCCTGGCAGGATCTCACTCAATTATTGGGTTTGGTAGGATCCAAAAAGACCCAAGATGACTAATACAAAATACATCCTGGCATTTGGGGGTGAACTCAATAAGGTTATGGATCCATCCTGGAGATCAACTGGATGGTGCACGCCTTGCTGCCTTCAAGGGACTGGGGGCAGTCCAAAACACATGGGTACAAAGAAAACAAACAGAGGGTGCACCGGCCTCGTTGCATTACCTTAAATACCATTAATAAAAAATTCATAGGTAATACCTTACTTACATGTTTTTTTTTTATAGATTATTTGAAAAAGATCTGATTTTTTTTTTTTTTTTTTAGGTAATATACTCACAAAAGATAAAAATGTAAAAGCTCATCAAAGAACAGCATGTCCAGTCATGCAATGTGGCTATAACGCATAGGAACATTGGACCTCCAACAGGCTAACACGTTTCGAGGACTGGCCTCTTCCTCAGAGCCCTGAGGAAGAGGGCAATAATAAATGATATTTAAGGGTAATGCACTAGGCCGGTGCGCCCTCTGTTTGTTTTCTTTGTACCTAGGATCCAAAGACGTCTGAGATCATTCCTAATGATCAGGGTCCTTCTTAGTCCTAATCATTAGGGACTATACTGTATATTCAAACTCTTCTCACCCTCCCACAATGACCCCAGAGCTGCAACTGACATAATCTTAAATAAACTTGCCAGCAATTACTGAAATTTTCCAGTGTGGAGAAAAATTTGCTGGTAATAGTGCCATCACAGGATCCTGGTAAAAGAAGCTCAGTTTACTAACCACATTAAAGCAACCCCAAGGTAGTTTTAATAAGGACTCTTCCTGTGAAAAATGCCATTTTTGGAGGTCAGCCTCATTCAAGCATTTAATCCTATGAGTAGAGATGAGCGAAGTATTGAAAAAAAGATTCGATTCGGCTGATTCGGCGAATTCCAGTATGAAATTTCGATTCGATGCGAATTTCTTCGCTACGAAGATGGCTTATATAAAAAGGGTTTCTAGGCTTCAGAGAGCCTTTAAATTAGTGCAGAACACTGTACCTTTAATTTTTAAATGCCCTTGGAGATCAGGAAGGAGAAGGAGAAGGAGAAGGATGAGAAGAAGGAGAAGGAGAAGGATGAGAAGAAGGAGAAGGAGAAGGATGAGAAAGAAGGAGAAGGAGAAGGATGAGAAGATGGAGAAGGAGAAGGAATGAGAAAGAAGGAGAAGGAGAAGGATGAGAAGAAGGAGAAGGAGAAGGATGAGAAGAAGGAGAAGGGAGAAGGATGAGAAGAAGGAGAAGGATGAGAAGAAGGAGAGAAGGATGAGAAGAAGGAGAAGGATGAGAAGGAAAGGAGAAGGATGAAGAAGGATGAGAAGATGGAGGAGAAGGAGAAGGATGAGAAGAAGGGAAGGAGAAGGATGGAAGAAGGAGAAAGGAGAAGGATGAGAAGAAGGAGAAGGATGAGAAAGGGAAGGAGAAGGATGAGAAGAAGGAGAAGGATGAGAAGAAGGAGAAGGATGAGAAGAAGGAGAAGGATGAGAAGAAGGAGAAGGATGAAGAAAGAGAAGGAGAAGGATGAGAAGAAGGAGAAGGAGAAGGATGAGAAGAAGGAGAAGGATGAGAAGAAGGAGAAGGATGAGAAGAAGGAGAAGGAGAAGCAGGAGAAGGAGAAGGAGAAGCAGAAGGAGAAGGATGAGAAAGAAGGAATAAAGGAGAAGGATGAGAAGATGGAGAAGGAGAAGGATGAGAAGAAGGAGAAGGATGATGAGGAGAAGGATGAGAAGAAGGAGAAGGATGAGAAGAAGGAGAAGGATGAGAAGAAGGAGAAGGATGAGAAGAAAGAGAAGGAGAAGGATGAGAAGAAAGAGAAGGAGAAGGATGAGAAGAAGGAGAAGGATGAGAAGAAAGGAGAAGGATGAGAAGAAGAAAATGAGAAGGATGAGAAAGAAGGAGAAGGAGAAAGGAGAAGCAGAAGGATGAGAAGAAGAAAAAAGGAGAAGGATGAGATGATGGAGAAGGAGAAGGATGAGAAGAAGGAGAAGGAGAAGGATGAGAAGAAGGAAAGGAGAAGGATGAGAAGAAGGAGAAGGAGAAGGATGAGAAGAAGGAGAAGGAGAAGGATGAGAAGAAGGAAAGGATGAAGAAAGGATGAAGGAGAGATGAGAAGAAGGAGAAGGATGAGAAGAAGGAGAAGGATGAGAAGAAGGACAGTTCGTGACAGTTTCTGTCTATTTCTGACAGTTCTGGGACATTCACTCCATACAGCGGTTTCAACCGCTGTATGGAGGGAATGTCCCAGAAATGTCAGAAATAGACTATTTCTGACAGTTCTGGGACATTCACTCCATACAGCGGTTTCAACCGCTGTATGGAGGGAATGTCATAGAACTGTCAGAAATAGACTATTTCTAACAGTTTTTCTGGGACATTCCTTCCATACAGCGGTTGAAACATTGTATCTATTTGTTTCCATAAATGGATCCATTTATGGAAACAAATAGATACAATGTTTCAACCGCTGTATGGAAGGAATGTCCCAGAACTGTCATAAATAGTCTATTTCTGACAGTTCTGGGACATTCCCTCCATACAGCGGTTTCAACGCTGTTCAAACCGCTGTATGGAGTGAATGTCCCAGAACTGTCAGAAATAGACTATTTATGACAGTTCTGGGACATTCCTTCCATACAGCGGTTGAAACATTGTATCTATTTGTTTCCATAAATGGATCCATTTATGGAAACATTGTATCTATTTTTTTTCCATAAATGACATTCTGCAAATACACTTAGAGGAGCGCTGCAGATACACATTTTGCCGGCTTGGAATTAATCTTATTTTCATCCTACTTCTGCTTCTTCTCCTTCTTCATCCTCATCCTTATAAGAAGAAGAAGAGGATGAGGATGAAGAAGAAGAAGAAGAAGTAGGCAAAAAGTGTATCTGCAGCGCTCCTCTAAGTGTATCTGCAGAATGTCATTTATGGAAAAAAATAGATACAATGTTTCAACCGCTGTATGGAGTGAATGTCCCATAACTGTCAGAAATACACTATTTCTGACAGTTCTGGGACATTCACTCCATACAGCGGTTGAAACCGCTGTATGGAGGGAATGTCATAGAACTGTCAGAAATAGACTATTTATGAAAGTTCTGGGACATTCCTTCCATACAGCGGTTGAAACATTGTATCTATTTGTTTCCATAAATGACATTCTGCAAATACACTT